ATGGGGACACACACTCACCCGGAGACTTTCCTGAGTGGGCACTGCTGGCCACTGACGATGATGCTACCTGCACTGCTGCTCCCGCTTCAGCTGCCACCAAAGGGGGTCGTATCCCCCGGAGGGGTAGGAGGGCCCATCCCTTCCACTCCCCACAATCAAATTCCCCCACCAATTATGTGACACATGGTGTGACAAGTATGTCTTTGTGAGCTATGAATTTATCTATATGATGACTGACTATGTTATAAAAGTGAAATTGCATTTGTTTAAACATTCAGTGAATCATATTGCAAAAAACAAAACTTCATGAAATTGTAATTGTCCTGGAGAATCTGGAATTTGGAGTTCTGGTAATTATGCTTAGTAATCGCAGAAGTTAATCACTGCTTAGATTAGTCAGGAGTGAGCAACGGGCTTGTTAGTCAACTGTCTAAAGGTAAAATCAAAAGTGGTTTTAGAGCTAAGAAATAGTTGTTAACTCTGGTAATGACGAACAGAGGTGGGTTCTTTCAGGAGAGCTAAGACCTACCGCCTCCTCTTCTGTAAGCAATACTTCAACAAGTTGTTGAACTGGAAATTAATTTTATACTAATTTGTTCTCAGCTCATGCTTTAATGAGCTTATATTTCTGGGTATTTAATTTGAAAGTACATTTGATAAATAATGCATTAAAAATAAATTGAGACTGAGAATAAATGAGTTTGAAATTTCAGAGGTCAGTAATTAAGATTATTCCCACCATTTGGTTTTTCACTTTTTAACCAATCCTTAGCTGCCTATATTTCACATTTCTCTAAAATGAGGCAAATTCTGTAAAGTGTGGAACCCCTCAAAGATATGTAACAGTCAAAAACCAGTGATTCTGCTTACCCGAAGCAGCCTAAACTGTAGCACTGGCTGCTATCCTTTCACTTTCTGACTCGTCTCAGGTCAGACATGCCTGCAGGGTGCCCAGGACTGAAATCCTCTCTCCAATCCCCCATGTAGAGGGAACAGGGACCCTGCTGATGCCCTGGGGCATTATGATCCAATTACATGACCCTCTCCTGTTTAGAGAATTGTTATCTTGTCTCCCTTAAGTACTCAAGCCAAAGTTATCTCTAGAGAGGGGACTGTAGAGCCTTTCAAAGTTATTTCACATGGAAGCTAAAGAGGCAAGCTGGCAGCAAGGTCCCCATGGCCTGGTGGATGCCTGATGCGGCTGGCAGGCGGGTGCCCCCACCACCCTCCGTCATGCACACTTTGGTAAGCCTCACACTCATTGAGAAGGACAGCCTCTGTAGGGGGAGGAGCAGGGTACTATGAGTGTCGTGCTCCTGCACCTGAATCTTCCAGCCGAGCAGAACGAACCTGGGCCCTGAACTGCCACCCTCCCCGCATTGACCACTGTCTTTGCACATGCTCTCCCTCTGTGGGCAGTTCCCTCTCCTGCCTTTGTCCCTGGACACCTGGCCGTCCCACTCCTCAACATTGTATGGGAGTCCACAAAACTTTCATCATTTGCAGTTGATTTAATCAACAACATAAAAAATCCAAGATATGCTACAAACTGTTAAGCTGGCAAGATGGTCCAGCAAGAGAGTCTGATACAAGATTTGGAAAAAAAAGCAAAACTTTTCCTTTGCATTAAAAATAACAGTGTATAAGACATAATAGAAAGAAGGTCCTATTCATGACATCAACAGACCTCTACAATACCTAGGCACAAGCCTAATGAAAACTCCAATAGCCATATGAAAAAAAAAAATCTGAAACTAGACTGAAAGACATAAAAATGCTCTTTTTAAATGGAGAGACGTACTATGTACATGAATAGGAAACCTCTTTATTGTGAAAATACAAATTCTTACTAAATTGACCTATGCTTTCAATGTAGTCCAAGTGGAAATCTCAATGGATTATTACAGAGCTTAAAATTTGATTCTAAAATTCACCTGAAAGAGAAAATAGGCAATAACAGCCTAGAAACTCTTGGAAAAAAGAACAGTACCAAAAGGAAGACTTGTTCTTGACAAGGTTGCCGAGACAAATTGGGGAAAGAATTGTCTAAACAAATGATCCTGGGACAACTGGATATCTACATGCAGAAGAATGAAATGGGACTCTGACTTCAAGCCATGCACAAAAATTAATTCAGAGTGAATCGAAAAGCTAAAACCTAAACCTGTAAAACTCTTAAAACATAAGTGTAACTCTTCCTCACCTTAGGTTAGGTAATGGTTTCTTAGATATGGCACCTAAAGCATAAGCAATCAGAGAAAAAAATAGTTGGCTTGAAGCTCATCAAAATGATCAGCCCTTATACTTCAAAAGATATGATCAAGAAAGTAAAAAGACAACCCACAAAATGGGAGAAAATATTTGCAAATAATATATCTGATAGGGGTCTAGTATCCAGAATATATAAAGAACTCTTCCAATTCAACAATAAAAAGACAATAAACCAATTAAAAGATAAGCAAAGGATTTGAAAAGATGTTTCTCCAGAGAAGGTGTACAAATGAGCAATAAGCATGTGAAAAGATATTCAACATCATTAATCTTAGGAACATGAAAATCAAAACCACAATGATTTACCACTTCACATACACTAGGGTGGGTACAATCAAAAAGATAGACCAAAGGATGTGTTGGTTAGGATGTGGAGAAGTTGGAAGCCTCATGCATTCCTCCCATACACTGGGTCAGCTGCTTGGGGAAACAGTTTGGCAGTACTTCAAAGTTTAAGCAAAGAGTTCCCATATGAGGCAGAGATTCTGCTTGTAGGTATATAACCATATACCTACTTGTGGAGTACACCCAAGGGAACCAAAAACATATGTCCTTACAAAAACTTGTACACAAATGTTCATGGCAACATCATTCATAATAGCCAAAAAGTGGAAAGAACTCAAGTACCCATCAACTGATGAACGGATAAACAAAATTTGGTCTATCCATACAATATAATATTATTCAGCAATAAACAGGAATGAGGTACTGATTCCTACTACAACATGAATGAACCTTGAAAGCATTACGCTAAGTGAAAGAAGCCGGACACAAAAGGCCACATGTTGTATGATTCCACTTACATGAAATAAAACGAATAGAACAAGCAAATCCACAGCAACAGGAGGTAGATTAGTAGTTGCCTGAGGCTGGAGGAGCGGGCAATGGGAAGCGATTGCTAAGGAGTATGAGGTTTCTTTTTGGAGTGGTGAAAATGCTTTGGAATTAGATAGTAGTGACAGCTGCACAAAATTGTGAATATAATAAAACTCACAAATCGTATGCTTTTAAAAGGTGAATTTTATGGCATGTGAATTTTATCTTAATCAAAAAAGAGAACTTGCTCTTCTGATATCAAAATGTACTATAGAACAATAGTAATTCAAAGAGTGTGGTATTGGCACAGGAACGGCCAGCTGGAGGCTTGCCTCGTGGAGCAGCACAGAGGATATGAAAGGGGAGCCGCACGCAAATGTGGGTATTCGATAATGACAAGGTAGCATTTCAAATCAGTAAGAAAGCGGTGGTGGAGAAGAGCTGGCTCTTAGTTTGTGGGGGAAAGTTAGATTCCAACCTCACACCTCCACAAAAATAAATTCCAGATAGATTAAAGAGTAAATTGTAAGATTATAGAAGAAAACAAAGGAAGACATATGTACGACCTTGAGGAAAGCCACCATAAGCAATATACAAAATGCATAAAGGGAAAAATGGAAAATTTGTCTTTCTAGGAGCTGGAAACTCAGTACAACAAAAGAGATCATAAGTAAGTTAAAGAGCCATTTCTCACATAAAAACAGGGAAAATATTAATATCCTGAATACATAAAGAACTTCTAGAATCCATGAGAAAAAGTCAAAATAACAAATGTCCTGCAGCACTTCCATCTCCATCCTATAGTTGCCTTTCAGATGATCCCAGAATGCTGTCCTCTATTCAGTGACAAAGAAAATCTCGGCCCCTTTCTCATGGTGTTATGGGATTTCCTCAGCCACTCGACCCCATGTGGTCTTCCTTCTTAGCAAAGTCAAGGTGGTCTTTGGAATTTTGTCTTTGTTGGGCAGAACAACTGGACTCCAAGCCCTGCCCTGGAAAAAGAGAACCACTGTTGTCATGAGTGGAGGAGCCTTGCGCTGACGCGGGCACAGCTGGGACGGGCTGAAACCCGAGCTCTCATTCTCTTCCTCCTTCGAAGACGCAGCCCTTTGCTGCTGGGCCCCGCACGCAGCTGGCATTGAGAGGACTGGAATGAGGAGTGCTGAGTGTGCTTAGCATTCCTCGCCAGTCGGCCACTTAATTGGGGATGTAACACAACCTTTATTCAACAGTAAAATTAACCTTGATTCCGGACAGCTATCTATCTTCACTAAGGAAGTGTCTGTGCAGTGGTTTCTTTTTGCAAGCGATGACATTGTTAAGGAAATGTAATGCTGCAGGCGCGTCACACAGGGATTTTGTTTTAGGGTTAGAAGAGCTTCCTCTTTCCTGCTGAGACAGATTTCGGCTCTCAACTGGGCAATGCAGCGAGGTCCCCCCTCTCTCTCCTAACCCCTTCCTTCTCATTTGCTTTTCTGTTTTCATAAGCCATAGATTTAGGCCTCATTTTATTACGTTTCACAGTGTGCTTAAATACCCCGTACGGTTCCTCATCTCATTACAAAAGACAATTTACGTGAGGGTAAAACGGCGATGTCAAAGTGATTTGTTCTGCTGCTGGATTTTGTAAAACATTCTACATCAGGGCTTTCCTGAAGGATGTCAGAGAGACAAGAAGGGAATCGGGATGCATTTTAAACTCCTATTGATAATCTCTCCGTAAATCAGATATTCCTGCCGTGGGTCCTGGCTGGGTCACATTGGGCTCAACATTAAATATTAACACTGCTGGTTCGACATTTTGTGCAAAAGGGAATTCTATAGCTAAAAACAAGTGAAGACGATTGGAGGCAGTTGGTTTATTCTGAGTTGGGCAAGAAGATATGACTGAACTGACTTTCTCCCCCTTTTAGGGTCACTGTTACTACCACGGACATGTGCAAGGCTATTCTGGTTCGATGGTCAGTCTCAGCACTTGCTCTGGTCTCAGGTAAGTGACCGTGACAGTGACGGCTCTGATCTTAAGCACAACTCCTGCAGACCACCTCTTTCTTCTTCTGTTCACTCTACAGCACTGAGAGTAAATGTTGGGGCCTCACCTCCACCTGGCAAGACAGAGAAGGCTCTCACTTTACAGCTCGCAAAAGTACACCTTCCCCAGGGTCACAGTGGCTCTTTTGAGGCCATTCTCAGGCCTGGTAGGTTGAAAGTAGTGGAACTGGCTGAGTTTCATCCTCCAAGTATTCTGTGTGTCTTTCATTTATGAGCTCTGATGCTTAAATCCCAATGTTAAAAGATAGGACATTAGGTATTAACGTTTAAGATGCTTGCTTAATAAAAACAAGAAGACCCCCTCTTGTTAGGAGACAAAGTAAAGAGCTAATTTGACCCAGATCCAGGTGATCTGAACACAGGCATGGATGATAGGGGCTTTGGCTACAGTCCAAGAAACAACGCCCTTCCGCCGCTGGACCAGCCAACCCTGGTGTTTCCTCACAGCCCCTCCTTCTGAGTCACAGTCGTTAGCCGTGACTTGGCTCTGCTGTGCTCCCCAGGAAAACCAGTTTGTCTGACAAATTTCCAGCTGCCTCAGCCTTTTCACTGGATTTATTTATCGAATTTGTAAACTAACAGCTTGCATCCTTCAAGTCCTGCTTTGCTGTGGCACCAGAGTGTGGTCCTGTGGAGGGAAGAGAGAGAAGGGCCTGGGAGAACGTGCCAGCTTGAGTGAAAAGCAGGATGGCATCTGTGTGTCAGCAGTAACCGCCACGTCTCTGTGAGTTCTGCATAGGACTGTGGAGAACCAGCCTCTGTACACACACAGTACACACACCACAACACACACACACATGCAACATACTGTGCACACCACACCACACAGACACACCACAGCACACACACACACCATACCACACACATGACAACATACACACCAATACACACACACACCACAACACACAAACACCACAACACCACACACACAGTACACCTTGCAAACTCACCACACACAACATACATACACACGCACAGTCAAGCTCTGCAAATGCAAGTGATGACTTCACTGGCACTTGGCAGGGTTTTCACAGCTGCAGATGAAGACAGGAGCCTCACGGACAGTTCACAGGAAATGGGCACTGTTTTGGAAACCTTCCCACACATTAATCCTGACATATAGTAGGCATTTAACGAATATTCTTGAATTAATAAATAATCACCTTGGCCAGCTCCTTATTCACAGCAGAGTCATTTGTGACTAAAATTCTCTAGTAGAACAGAGAACACCCAAGTGCAGCGGAAGCCCCTCCCAGCCCTAATGTTCTCACTGGTGGGGGAGGAGCCAGCAGCTGAGAAGCTTGTCACTTGGTGGGGCCAGAGTCAGTTGTGGGGCCTGGGTCAGTGCTGGCTCATCCCCGGGCCAGCAGCCCCAAGGGAGGGGCTCTCCTGCAGGGCCAAGCAGGGTGTCAGGTGTGCAGACGGAGTGATCCCTCAACCATGCCCCCGAGGGCCTAGCACCTTTCCACTGCACCCTCCACCTCTCATTCCAACCGCATTCACTGTCCCCGGGTCCCCCTATGAGCCACTGCCCATTCTTTATGACACAGGTCACCTGCACACTTACAAGTGTGAGGAGAGAGCATCCCGTCTCCCTCTGCAGTTGGCTTTTGAGGTCAGCACTGTTTTGACATCCATCCTCTTTGGCTTATGTGGCATAGGTCCCTCCCTGTAACTGCTGCGTAACATTCCATTCTACAAGCAGACCACATCTTATCTCTTCATTCCCTCCACGCTGTGCATTTAGGTGATTTCCAGTTTTTCTCAATTGCAAATTGCGCTGCTCGGCATGGCCTTGGGCAGTCTGTGTCTCTGTGACAGGGCTCAGGAGGGGAGGCGCCTGGACGAGGAACGTGGTTCAGAGGGCATGAGCGCTTCTGCTTGTACCAACAACAGTCCTGCCACTTAGTTCTCCAAGTGCCTGCCCTGATTTCCATTGACCCTCGGAGTATGAGAGTCCTATTTCCACACGTCTTCCCCAATGCTTAATATGTCTGATTCATTTTTAAGTATTTCCCATTGGAATTGAACAGTATGTGCAAAAGCTAATCCTCTCCGCCTTCACCCTACTCCAGTCCCACCCGAGTAAAACATGGCAGCAAATGTGGAGGTACCCCCCCGCCTGCTCCTCACTCCTGTGCACGCAACCACATGGTCAGGGCTTGGAGTGTGTGCGTGTGTGTGTGTCTATTTTCATAAAAATAGAGTCATACACATCACTCCACAGCTTACTTTGTCCCCAACCCTATCTGTCTCTCCAAGTCAAGAGACACAGACTTAAACCTCTTTTTGTCTCACTTCATTGAGTATGTATACACACACACATTTCTGCATGCATGTATTAGTTGTAGAAAGCACTCTTCATATCCCGTTTGTGTGACACTATTGGACTTGAAAAGTCTGCTAATCTGATTGGAAGTGAACACGGGTCTTTTGTTGCTTGGATTTGCTGCTCTCCAGTTATTCATTCATTCAGTAAACATCCCCTGAGCACTTCCTCAGTGCCAGCGCTGGAGGAGATGAGGGGCGAGCTATGCAGACGTCTGCAGGAAGTGCACTCCTGGCAGAGGGAACAGCGTGTACAAAGCCCCTGAAGCAGGAAAATGCCTGGGGTTTGCAGAGCAGCAAGATGGCCCATGTGGCTGGAGTGGATCGGGGAGGGGGAGGCGGTGGACAATGAGGGCAGAGGTGAAGTGGAACACAGGATGGTGAGGGGTCTTGAAGGTGATCAGATGCCCTTTGACCTCCCCGTCGTTGTGATGGGTGCCTTGGGAGCTCTGAGCCCAGGTCTGACTTAACATTTCCCCAGGTCACTCTGGCTGCTGGGCTGAAAATAGACTGTAGGGGATGCGCGCAGAAGCCGGAGTTCAGCTGGGAGCGTTTGCCGTAATCCCAATGAGAGTTGGGGGCCTGGAGAAAGGTGACGACTGTGGATGTGTGAGAGTCTAGAAACGTTTTCAAGGGTGTTAGAGAGGCTGGCGACTCTAGCATTTGCATAAGCTTCTGGCTGTTGCCTTCTCCCCCGAAAGTGCTGTGTGTCTGAGGCTCGCTTCCCCAAGGTAGCATGGGGCACAAATACACAAAAGGACCAAGTTCCTGCTACGGAAAGAAGTAATAACTGAGGAAGCCCTAGGAAAGCCAGTCACCAGGTAGGGTCTCCAGGAGCCGGACAGGCCCCGCATGCATGGTGTGCACTGAGGAGGAGGAGGAAGGAGAGAGAAGCCGGCAGGGGTAAGGGTAGCAAGGAAGACCAATGAAATTTGCCAGAAAAAGGATGAAGGCCAGGGATGCTCAGAAACAAACAGGCTTCCTCCAGCAGCGGCCTCCACACGTTTATGGGGAAGTTTTAAATCACACAACTGAGAACAGGCATAAATGGAGGCGTCCAGGTTGACATGCTTGATAATCAGGTGAGTTCATGGATATGAAATTCTTCATAGGTAAAGAGAAAAGGGGTATCTCCAAAGTATTCCCCATAGCTCCTTTTTATAATAAACAAAACAATTTACAAACCAGTGACATTAATTAGTTTGAAAAAATGAAGATGAACGACTGAGTAGAGTATTCCCAGAGTAATATTCAAATAGGACAGGTCTGCCCTCTGCGCTTGGTAGTGCCTCTCCATCACGGCTCCCCATCCCTCTTCCCAATTCTGCTCCCCAAAGGCACAGGTGACTGTCAGGGTCTCCGGTTCCTCCCACATGGAGGGGTCAGTCTCTGACCAGATTCGGCAGTGTCTGCGTCTCAGCGTCTATCTCTCGCTTCTAGCACCTGGAGAACGTCCCCTCCCAGTACCTGACACAGACCGTAATTTGGCAAAGAAAGACACTGAAATACTTGTGGCTGGCATTTCAGGAAAAGTCAGAAGAGTAAGCGCTGCGTCGTCTGGTGTCGCCCACCAAGACGGGGTGGGCGCAGTAACGGGGAGCACCATGTGGGAACGTCGCTCCTGAGAATTTTCACTTCCCAATCTCTGTGCTGTTGTTAGAAAAGCAGCAGACCGTGCATCAACAGAGAAATTCTGGAGTTATGCAGTCAACTTTATGATCTTGCAAGTGGAGAATCAGAGGAGAGAGAAAGCTGCATTCGATCAACTGCTCGCTGGCAGAAGAATCGATTGAGACTCGAAATAAAGAAAAAATGCTAGAGTAGCACCAGCCTGGTAGATTAGAGAAAGAAAACAGGGATTAAAAAGTATGTTAAATATGGTGTGACCCAAAAATACGTGAAGATCTAAGAACATGGAGGAAAGCTCGAGGGTCCTAGGGGAGACATTAATTAGAGTTCAGCTGATTACAGTTTTGCAGAGAAAAAACAGAGAAGGAACATCCTGCGTTACTTCAGAAAGGCTGATCAAAGATGGGCAGGCACGGAAAAACTCTTCTGGAATGGAAAAGAGAGCGGGGAAGCAACAAGTCATCCTTCTTCATTTGAAGCTTGAAGGGGAGAAGATAAGGGGAGAAAAAAAGCATGAAGATCCCAGTAGAAAGGGGGATTAAAGAGGAAACAGCTCTTTAATGGAGGGGATGAAGTGCAACGTGGAAAATAGGCCATAAAAATGAGTTCAGCCGTGGAGTTTATTCTGACTTTGAAAGGACTCCAAGTCAAATGCGAAGTTCAGGCCATAAGTTAATTTTGTGCTGTATCGTATGTCTCCCCAAGATGCTCCGGCTTCATCAGGACGGTTTCAGTGCAAGTTCGTGATTCTCCTTTTGTGTTCTGGTCCCTCATTTATTCTCGCTGCTTTGTGCCTCACCCCCCCCCCATCCACCCCCGCTAGTGAGTACCGAAGCCCACAGGCGTCCCCGTGAGTGTCAGCTACTCGTCGATACTGTAGGTCACAGATACCAAACTGTCTTGTGGATGGGCAGAGAATTCTGCTCCTGCCTTAACCTGCTGTGTTTTGTCCTTGGGACAAATGTCCAAGCCTGGCACACT